CTGATGGTATTAATAATTCTCCCTCCTGCCTACAGACTCCTGCCAGCTGACGCTGGACCCCAACACAGCAAACAGACACCTGTCTCTGTCAGGGGGGAACAGGAAGGTGACATGGGGGGCAGAGGAGCAGCCATATCCTGATCATCCAGAGAGATTTGACTTCTGGCCCCAAGTTCTGTGCAGAGTTAGTCTGACTGGCCGCTGCTACTGGGAGGCTGAGTGGGATGGAGATGGAGCCTGGATAGGAGTGACTTATAAAGGGATCGAGAGGAAAGGATGGAGTGACTGTCTGCTTGGAGACAATGACAAGTCATGGAGTCTGTACTGTTATCCTGACAGTTACTGTGTCTGGCACAATAAGAAACAGACTCTCATACCCATAGAGCCCTCAGGCTCCCGCAGAGTAGGAGTGTATCTGGACTGGGGGGCTGGTGCTCTGTCCTTCTACAGAGTCTCCTCTGATGGACTGACCCTCCTGTACAGATTCACCTCCTCATTCACTGAGCTCCTCTATCCAGGGTTTGGGGTTTATCCAAACTCCTCAGTGTCACTGTGACGTGTTGCTGGTTCTCCTGGCAAAAAGGTAAAATCTCTGCTTTTTAACCTTTATAATCCTTTTTACTCTGAAATGTATGTTTGATAAAATTATGTTTTTCTCTTTGACTAAAATGTAATCCTGATGAGTGGGGGGGCTTTCGCCCTCCCCTGTATATGTACATTTTATATATTTATGCCTATTTACTGTATTTCCTCCCTGTACAATAACAAAGGCTTTCTGTTCTGTCCTATTAATGTCCTGCTTCAGCGTCACCCAAAGCAATACTGAGTAACATAATGAAACCACAGTCTGCTGGATTAAATTAAATAAATTCACTTCTCTACTAACACAATTATAATATATACAATCAGTTTATATAATGACCATTTACCTGGAGACAGAATCTAAAAACATTGCAAAATATAATTATTTCCAGTTACTGCCCTGGTTCAGTGGATTAAAGTAAATAAAATTATTTGATGAAAAAATGAAATTTGTTTTATTAAATAATTACCCCCCCCCCCCCCGCCATTGTAAAAGGTCTGGTTACGCCCCCTTCAGACAGAAGGGGCAGATGCCCAGGCACACTTACCCCCACCCCTGTGTAAAAGGTCTGGCTATGTCCCCCCCGCTGTAAAATGTCTAGTTACACTCCCATTGGACAGAGGGGTCCTTACCCCCCACTGTAAAAGGTATGGCAATGCCCCCGACAGACAGAAGGGGCAGATGCCCAGGCACCCTTATCCCCCCCCCTCTGTAAAAGGTCTGGCTACATCCCCCCCTTACTGTAAAAGGTCTAGTTACACCCCCGTCAGACAGAAGAGGAAGGTGCCCAGGCACCCTTACCCCCCCACCCTCCACGTGCCTGAGAAATCCAGAGAAATTGATACATAGATAGATACTGAATCCATTGCCCCCTCCCACCCCCGACTGCCAAAAGCCACTAAATTTACCTACATGCATTATTATTAATAATAGACGTGTAAGAATATCCACAGACATCCATTAAGCAATCCACCATTGGATTCATTATCTATTGCAGATTAACATTCTATACAGTGACTGTAGTCAGTTATAATGTCTCTCTATCAAGCTGCTGCCATATTTCTTACGTCCACTGAACACGTCAATTCACAGAACAAGCGATCCTTCCAGAGACAATGTGTACTTTTCAGGGAGGCCACTAGGTGGAGACAAAACAGATTTCTAAATAAAACAGGTTCTGAATTAAATTATAAAGAACCGGATCTATGCGCGATATTCATAAAATACCATGCTGACTCCATTTTAACGGGACACTTCTTTTTTATGCCAGTGTGTAATTCGCAGTCATTTGTGTTCTTTCATAATAAAAAATCAAGAATATTATGAGCCATAATTTTGCTTTTGAGCCTTTCAGGGGGTCTCATGGGTTAATCGGGGGTGTCGGACCCCCCTGTATTTCGCACACTGATAAAGCCTATTTGTGATTCATATTATGAATAGTGAGTATCCATTTTTTAAAATAAGAAAGAGGGAGAGCCATCAAATCATAACATAAGGAAATTATTTAATTGGTAAAATACATTTCAAATGTAGCTTAAGAGTTTGAGAACAACATTGAAATGGAAGATCAGGCAAACGCACAAAATCTCCTCAGGAGGTGTCGTCACTGGCAGCAAAAGTAAGATAAAGAAGCAGAAAAAGCTGCCAATGTTTAGAGCACTAAGGTCTTCATCAGGACATAGACGATCCGCTGAGAGTGCGGCCCTCTTCTTTATTTTTCTTATTTGAGAGCGACGTTCCCAACAACAGGGAAGCGTAAAACACATTAAAAACACAACATTTAAACATGCAACAAATAGTTTGAGTTCCTATTGATGAGCTCATTCTGACTCACAGCTGTGACCAGTGTAACAGTCAGTCTCATCTGTGCAGTCTTTGTGTGCCCAGCCTGTACAGGACCAGCACTGAACCCAGACCTCCTCTGACCAGTATAACAGTCAGTCCCATCTGTGCAGTCTTTGTGTGCCCAGCCTGTACAGGACCAGCACTGAAGCCAGACCTCCTCTGACCAGTGTAACAGTCAGTCCCATCCATGCAGCCTTTGTGTACCCAGCCTGTACAGGACCAGCACTGAAACCAGACCTCCTCTGACCTGGAGTCGGTCTCCAAGCCCATAACACAGAATTCATCTTAATGGGATGAGTCCTGAATTTGCTGCTTCATTTTAGGTTTCTGTTTTTGCTGTTGCTGCCATTCATTGTTCCTTTAGCTTTAGAGATGCTTTTCTCCACCTCCAGTTGACACACGCTGATAAACCTCCTATTACAGATAGATAGCCCACATAATAGATCTACCAAAAGCTGTCTCTAGCTTATTACATCGCCTACCTCATTTGGGCTCAGCCCATAGTACAAATCAGCTGCCTGTTAGGTAGCTACTCAAAAGGATTTCCTGCTTTGAGGAGACCCTTTTGGAGGTCCAGTACCTACTCTGGGAAGTGATTGGAGTCCCTGACACTCCAGCCTCTGTCTCTTCTTATGGAAACGGTGCAGGTCCAGTACCTACTCTGGGAAGTGACTGGAGTCCCTGGCACTCCAGCCTCTGTCTCTTCTTATGGAAACGGTGCAGGGTCACATGGTAAATACCACATGATCTGGCCCCTCCCCTGACTGATTTGCCCTGTTTTATTTCATCTGAGGCCCTCCCCACAAAGGAAGTGGGACTCCCCTCTCTGTCTTCCTCTTTCTGATATTTGGCATGCAGTAAGCAAACACACGTTTTCCATTGGCTACTAGCATGCAGCTGACTAAATTATCTAGTATGTTGTTCATGTGCACATTTAGGTTTTTTAAATATAAAGTAAACTGTAGTAAAATGTATCCCACTTCTTTCAGGGCGTCCCAGCATCAGCATCCATGTTTTTAGCTCATGTGAGTTCACTTAACTGCGAGTTTGACACATACTAACTACTTTTAGCTTACAGAACAGTGATTCTAATAACACTTGTTTGGGTTCCTAGATATTTGATCCAAAAATTTAATTAGAGAGAAAAGTTAAATTTTTACTTAAAAAATTCACTTTTGCTGCTAATTTCTTCTGAGTTTCAAATGTAGCTCATTTTTGTGACCAAGAATACAGTCTATCTGAGCATGTGTAGGGTTGTTTCTGATTTCTGATTGGAGGAATTCATGCTGTTACAACCGTCCCATGTTAAAACTGACAAGAAAATGTTGGGAATAAAATGTGTGTATTGGAGCAAGTTCAGTGTCAGTGAGTGTGTGAGGTGTGACAGTGATAATAAAATGGTATTAGTGGCTACAGGAGTATATTGGTAATAAAATGTAGTGCAGTGTGGCGTCAGGCAGACCGAGGCATCGCAGGAGCAGAGAGAGACACGGAGACTGGCTTGCCGGGGAGAACACGCTCTTTATTGGTAGTCCTGAAAAGGTCTATATCAGGCACCCAATGAGCACCAAACCAATTACACATAGGAAACACAAGGTTGTCAGACACCAAACTGTAAGATGCATACACGGTGGGAGATACACGTAAGCTAATTACACACGAGGATCGGACTGGGTGCACACAAGACACGGGTGGTAAACACACACGCGCAACAATAAGGAAATGTAACCATTAACATTAACAACAACACAACAAGGGCTAATTACAACTGCACGTGGGGCGTGTTGGGACCTCTGAGGTCGACCATCCCGGCGACCACCAACCCCAGTCCCCACCTCAGTGCTGATGCAAGTCCCAGGGGTCTGCTGACAGTCGCCGGTGTGTTGCCTCTGATGATGGGGCAGGTCGCTCCCCGCGCTGGTGTAGCTAGCTGCTGGGTGGTGCTGGCATGTCAGATCCCTGCTGGTGCCAACCATTCTTCCGCGCCTGAAAGGGACCTAGACCAGCTTCCAGGGCGTCCATGCCCAGCGACTCCCACAGCCACGCTCCCTTCTCCGGGGACACACAGCGCATGGGGCTGCTGGAGACTTCCAGCCGTGCAGCATCCTCCTGGTCCTGGCCCTTCTTCCTACCCCGCTTAGGGCCCAGGTGTTGTGGTGGGGCAGGCAGGTCCTGTCACGGGGCCTCCTGCTCGCAGGGTTGTGTGGCCCTGCACAGCAGCTCCTGCTCTGGTCGAGCCGCCAGCTTGCCGCGCTCCTGGGCTAGCTGGGCCTCCAGTGCATAGCACACCTCTTGGCCATGCAGCACGACCTCCGCTTCTTGCAGCCTGCGGTGTTCCTTAGCCAGCTGGGCCTCCATGCTGCGACATGCCTCCTCCCGACCGAGCAGCACCATTTCGCGGCTTTGTAATGCCGCCTCCGCTGCCTCAGCCAGGGATACCTGGCGGTCACGCTCCTTCTTCCAGCTGGCCAACTCACTGCGCAGTTGCTCCAGCTCCTGCAGCTCCTGCTCTATGAACTGCTGCAGTCGCTCCCAGTCTTGGTGGTTCTGCTCCCGCTGCTCGTGAAGCTCGCGCCGCTCTTCAGTGGTCTGGGTCTCCCAGCTGCAGCACGCCTCTTCTCGATCCAACAGAGCAGCCTCTGCCTGCTGCCTCTGCTGATCGTGCTCGCAGCTGGAGTCGCACCGCGAAAATTTTTACAAGCATTTTCAAAACATATAAATACAAGGCTTGAACTTACTTTTGTGTTTAGGATGAAACCAAGACCACGGCAAAAAGGTTTAGTGACCAAGAAAAGACTGAGACCATTTCTGAAGATCAGAGGGGTCACGGTTAGCTGTGATAGCTGCTATGAGATGCTGTGATTCCGTAAAAATCCAGGAAAAAGCAGAGATACAGCAGTCAGGAAGACTTCAGGTGATTTAACGTCAATAGAAATTATAATCCTTGAAAGAATTAATTACTGGGATGTACAGGTCAGCTGCGGCAAAAGGGTGACATCTGATGTCAGTGTTTGTGACCCCAATGAGACTTGTGAAAAAGCAACAATACATCTTTCAGAACATGTTGTCTTTTCACTGTTTACACACTTCTAACA